CTATTTTATTAATATCATTTCCATATAAAAAAGGAACAAACAAAAGAGAAAAATAATTAATTCAGTTATTCATTACAAGAGATAAATAATATCGGGATTATATATACCCCTAGACACTAATAAATTATCGAAACAAATAAAAAAAAAAAAGCATGAACATAAAAATGAAATAATTATCGGAGTGTTAGAATCGGTATCGGTGCTTAAAATACACATATAGGATGCATCCAATCGTCTATTCAGGAGGAATTCCAGCTGAGGAGACACCACAGATCGTCCTTCTAACGTTCGACGATGCTGTTAATGATCTTAACAAACCGTTGTACAGTGATTTGTTCGAAAATGGCCGTAAAAATCCAAACAACTGTCCGATCACTGCAACGTTCTATGTTTCCCACGAGTGGACAGATTATAGCCAGGTGCAGAATCTTTACTCGGACGGTCATGAAATGGCATCTCACACGGTCTCGTAAGTCTCTCTCGCTTAATAGAAAGAGAAGATGGAATTTCCGTTGTTGTTTGGCCTTTCTTCTATCGAACATCTGTGTGGGTTATAACAAGAAAGGCTAGAAAGAATAATCACGTAACTGTGTCATATGGCGCGTGGCTATCGTCATTCGAGCTTGACGCTACTACCGATCATCATTATCTCTATTTCTTTGTGTTATTTTTATATACATATATACATATATGTGCGTATGTGTGTCGCGTCTATATCTCGCTTTTAATTAACTTTTCATACTTTGCCGAAAAAAACTTATTCTTCAAAAATAAACGAAGAGAATAAGTGCACTCATTTCTAAGTATCTTACCGATCTATAAAAGCATCGATCATCAAATGAGATTCATCATTTCATATTAATTATTCCTTTTTATTGAAAAGAAAAGAAAGAAAGAAAAAATAAATGCATCATTAATACGACGTAGAATCTCTTACGGTGACCGACTTAGAAAGATCTCTTTCTCTCTTGGAGTATAGTGAGTCTCAAGGCTATTGATAAACAAAGAAGCACGCGTGAAAGCAAGCAAGCAAATTGAATCAATAAAAAAAGAAAAGTAATAAATATCGAAAGGAAAGAAAAATCATGACGATGTGCTCAGATCGGTAGGATTCTTAATTCCCTAAATGAGGTATTAGATCAAAATAAAAACAAAACAAAAATGCAAGAAAAATCGTATATGCGTACGGTGAAACCATCGGTTATTTCTCCTTCTTCTTATCCCAGCTTCCTCTATTCTCGTTTTTTTTTTTTTTTTTAAAATGAGAAGAAGGTAGTAATACGCCTTCGACGACACCGATACTCGTAACGCGTGTAAAGAGTTTCACCGAACGCGTACGATACTCTTGCGGTATACTAATGACGCCTACTGACTATAACTCTTTTCTCTTTCCCTTTCGCTCTCTCTCTCTCTCTCTCTCTCTTTTTTTTTTCAATCTTTTTCATCGTCACGCATCATCGTCCCACGTTTTCAACGAAAATAATTTGAAATGCGACGAACGGGGAACTTCCTTACGATTTCTTTCAACCCTTTCCCTCGTGTCCCCACAATCCTAAACAAAAAACACAAAAACAGGTGATTACCTCCCGGAGGAGATCCCACAATTGGTCCTGTTGACGTTCGATGACTCCGTGAACGATCTGAACAAGGGACTCTACACAGATCTTTTCGAGAAGGGACGAAAGAATCCAAATGACTGTCCTATCTCAGCAACTTTCTACGTATCCCATGAGTGGACTGACTACAGCCAGGTCCAAAATCTCTATGCCTCCGGTCATGAAATTGCCTCCCACACAGTCTCGTAAGTATCCTCTTTGTAGGATTGACAACCCAATGATATTACATACAATGACTCATTTACAGTATTCGAACAATTGTCATGAAATAAATACTTTATTAATTATAATAAATATGTTATTAAACATAATTATTAACATATTTATTAACGTTAATATAATCAAGATTTTTTTTTCTTATCCAAAATTTATTAATATTATTACTAAGTTTACTCTTAGGGAAGTTGTTTTTTGGAC